ATATATATATATATATATATATATATTGAACGCAGAGTGGTCATACAAATTTAATAAAATATATATATATATATATATATATTTTATTATGCCAATCTTGCCGTTAAAAATTTTAAAAATTTTAAAAATCGCGTTTTATATTGTTTATAGTTATTAAATTTACTTTATTGGTTTTCTGTTTTAATTAAATAATTTATATAAATTAATAATTACTTGTTCCTTTATATCAAATATCTTACATACCTTATATATAATGCACTGAAGATGAGTTATTTATAACTCGAAATAGCTATTTGCAAATTTATTTAATAAAAATTTAAAAAAAAACAATAAAATGTCTAATTTCTCGGAAATTAATAAATTAAAAAGAAATATGAAAAAGTTGAACAATGTTGAAAGTAGTGTTGAATTTTTGAAATATATATATATATATTTATTTATATACATATATATACACTTTTTACTTCTATTTTCTTCAATTAACTTCAATCAAAAAATTTAACAATAAAAATTATACACATTTTTCTACAAATTATTATTATTATTATTTTATTATTATTATTATTATTTTTATTTCTTTATTACCAGCTTGCTCATTTTTAACATTGCTTTTATTGACGTTTTATTATTATTATGGCTATTCTATTTTATTAAACAGCTTTGATAATGTATGTGTGCGTGTATGCCGACGAGATAACAAGGAGTAGGATTGAGAGAGAGAGAGAAAGAGAGGGAGGGAAAGGAAGACAAAAAGAAAGAGAAATAGGTAAAAGAGAAAGAGAGAAAAAAAGAGACTATAAAAGAAAAACTAAGACAAACATAAAAATGAAAAGTGAAAAAGCGAATATAGGAAGAATGAAAGAGAAAATAAAGAAGAAATGAAAGAGAGAGAGAGGGATAGAGAAAGAGAAAGAGAGAGAAGTCTACGTAGAATACCGCATCCAGCATCAATGTTCTCGGTGTCTCTAAATTACAGTCTAGACGGCAGCATAACAAGCTGGCTGTGATGTCGATCATCACTACTATGATTACGACGACGATAGTGATAATGATGGTAATGTTGATGATTGATGATGATTGTAATTATGATGAAGTTCTAAAAATTATGATCATCACATAAAATGGTGATCGTGATTATACCACCACTGATGATTTCGCAATGATGGAGATCAGCAGAGTGATGTATGATAGATAGATGAATGGATTGATACACGAATAGATAGATGGATGAAGGAAAAGATGGGTGGATAGATAGACGGACACATGGATAGATAGACGGATACATGGATAGATAGATGGATACATAGAAAGTTAGATAGATGGATGGATAGATAGATCTATAGATAAGTAGATGGATGAATAGATGTTTTATGTTTTGATGTGAGACTATTTTATTGCATTTTATACATCAGAAAGATTAGTTACCCCACTGCCATTCCTAAATTTGTTGAGCAATTAAGCTCCAATTTTTATGAGGCTTATCACAAACGTCATCGTCGTCGTTGTCGTCTTCATCACCATCATCTTCATCGTCTTCATCACCACCACAACCTTCATCATTTTAATTACCACCATTATCATCATCCTCATCACTTCACCGTTTCCATCGCTATCCCAACTGTAATCGTAATTATTATCATCATCGTCATCACCATTTTTAGAATTTTCATCATTGCCTTGCTTAAACGGTCTTAGCAAAATCAAATACACACACACACCACACGTACACACACGCACACACCACACATACACGCACACAGAAACAAACACACATACCCATACATACATCCAGATCAATGGTTTTCAAGTGTTCGGAAAATATTTACTGGCAATCCGTAAATATTTATATATATATATTCATCTGATATTAAAAGAAATACTTTTTTTTTATTATTATTTTTTAAAATCAGGATCTGACAGACGCAGAAACTGTGACACCTTGCAAGGCAGTGAAACAAAATTAAACAAATAAGTGAGAAATTAAATACAAAAAGTGAGGATTATATACACACTATCTACAAATAAATACACATACACACATATAAACACACATACATACATACATAGCTATATACAACCAAACACACACACATACATACAGGCAAATACACAGACATGCTTCCACAGAGACATGCTTATAACATGTCTTCGTGTTTTTATTTACATTTGTTTGTTCAGTATTAATCTTGACATCTGATAATACACACATACACGCGCACGCGCGCACATACACGCACACACACACACACACAAGAGACACGCACAAAGAAAAATAATGATGTTAACAATAACGGAAAGTGAATGTTAGACGAGTCGATAAAAAATCAAAGATAACTAAAACACGTATTGATAATTTTTGTTTTAATTTTTAACATTGTCATTATCACCACCTACATTATTGTCATCATCATCTAAACAATCATCTAAATCAATCATCTAAACACCACTATCATCGTCATCATTACCATCATCATCATTACCATCATCATCATTATCATCATCATTATCATCATCATTATCATCATCATTATCATCATCATTATCATCATCATTATCATCATCATCATCATTATCATTATCATCATCATTATCATCATCATTATCATCATCATTATCATCATCATTATCATCATCATTATCATCATCATTATCATCATCATTATCATCATCATTATCATCATCATTATCATCATCATTATCATCATCATTATCATCATCATTATCATCAAACCGCCATCATCATCATCATCATCATCATCATCACTATCTTCACGATAACTGACTTGACAAGAGCTTCGATGTGTTTAACACATGTGCAACTCGATCCAGATTTTATAGTGGAGTTATTAAATAAATATTTAAACCCATCTATCATTAAGATATGTAGCGGGTCTGTATGCGCGCGTGTGTGCGTGCGTGCGTGTGTGTGTCTGCGTGCGTGTGCGTACGTGCGTGCGTACATTCTTCAATTGAATTTTATGTCAATGTACACATACTAGCGTGTGTTTTTAACATTAAATAATTTTGGCGATGATGATCAGAACAATATGCAATATTTGGCATACATATACACACCCCCCCCCCACACACACACACTCGCACACTCACACACGCACGCACGCACACATACACACACAAATTCATACATACACAGGTATATATACACAAAACACGAACTTATACAATCAAATGTCCATTCATTATGCGTGCACGTAGATATGTAATTGTCACAAAATTTTACCATAGATATAGAAAAGAGGATATAGCATAGATAAAAAGCCTGGATGTATGAAACAACATAGATACAAACAACATAGATATATGATTTGTTAGGCTACCTATGGGAAATCAGGCGATAATGTGATGACTGCAATGAATTGTTGGTTTGATGGTCGATTCAACTGATAAATTTATTATTAGTTCTTTGCCTTGTGTGTTTTGTATGTTTTATTGTTTGTATATTTTGTCGCCAGTATGTTTTTTATTTTTGTATTTTTCTTTTGTATTTGTATATCGTTTGCCTTGTGTGTTTTGTATGTTTTGTTGTTTGTATATTTTGTCGCCAGTATGTTTTTTATTTTTATTTTTGTATTTTTCTTTTGTATCTGTATATCGTTTTTCCTGCATTTTTGTATGACATCGATTGTATCATTTGATATGATAGAATAAGGTTTGTATCTTATTGTATAAAATCTGTGTAATATTTTTGTATCATTTTGCATAATGTTTTTAGTTTTTGGTATCAATTTCTTGAATTTTGTTTTTGTTTTGTATCTTTCTGAAGTTTTTAATATTGTATTTCAATCATTTAATCATTTTGTTTGTTCGCATACATGCGATTGACACTAAAGCCTAAGATAGACGTATTATTTGATTCTAGATTCGAGATATTTGAAATTATTTGGTTCATAAACTGACATCATTCACGGTGCATTTCTTTGGTTTAGTCATTAAAACGTTAAACTAGCATGTGCATAAAAAATATGTTATTCTTATGAAATTAATTTCTTCAGATTTAATTTAAATCTTATCTTGGTTATACTAGTATTAGTTGGAAAGTAAAAGTAGTAATAGCGATAGTAGCAACAGTAGCATTAGTAGAAACAGCAGCAGAAGTAGTAGTAATAATAGTGGAAGTAGTAGTAGTTGTTGTAGAAGCAGCCGCAGTAGTAGTAGCAGCTGCAGAATTTGAAACATTATTTTTAGTTATTTGCTTCATTCCCATTTTTTTATCTTTCTACACTACGGGTGTATTCATCCACTCCTTTATTCATTTGTCGGTCCTTTTTCTATCCATCCATTCATGCATTCATTCATCCATAATTCCATACATGCATGCATTCATCCATCCATCAATCGATACATTCATTTTTTGTTTGTCTATCTATCTATTCATTCCTTTATTCGTCAGTCCATCTATCTACCCATCTATCTATGTATTTATATAGATAATGAAATAGCATATTGACCCTTATGTAAGACCTAGGTGACCTTTGACCTCGTGTTTATCTCCATGTTGATGTTGTTATGAGGGCTGTTTCTTGTTGTTGTTGTAATTTTTTGTTGTTGTTTGGTGTTTTTTTTGTTTGTTAATTGTTTGCAGTTTTTTGATGAACAATATTTGATTTAATATTTTTTTATCAGTGGCTTTACAACTTTAAAAAAATTCATTCACATTAAATTTTCATATTTAATTTGTTATAATAATTCATATAATTCATAATTAATTCATTATTGTAAAGCATTCATAATTTTTTCATAATTTTAAATGCCGATAATTTTATTATTACTATATTCAGTAAAATCAACAAGGATGTTCACATCAATTAACTCAAAATAAGTCAAAAAATTGAAAAATGAATAAGAAAAGCACTAAAACGACATTAAGAGTAACATCGAAAACAACAACTTCAACAACAACAACATCAACAACAGCAACAACAACAAAAACAACAACAACACCGGCGACAATAACAACAACAAAAACAACGACAACGAACCTCGCTTCTGCATGAATGCGAACAATTCATCTAAAAAATCTTTCCTCTTCGGCTCGGATGACATCTCATACAACTAAATTTTATTAAGATGTCTTCGTCATTGTCCTAATCATCATCGTCGTCGTCGTCGTCCTCATCATCGTCATCATCAGGGTGTCGTTATCATCATCACTATTGTCATTATTTTCATCACCGTAATGTCTTCTTAACAATTGAATCATCACAGTTATAAAAAGCAAACATCAGCTAATATAAACCTCACAACAACACAAATTGTATGGAAGCATTGTAAAGCTGCAATGCTAACAAACGATAATGAAAATAACATAAACAACAACATACGAAACATAAGGAGATGCTAACAACAACCTGCTTAAACTGCTCCTCAAATGTCCAATGGTGGCTACCGCCACCGCCATTTTGTGGCGAACCCTTCCCACCACCGCTGCTGCTTCCGCTTCCGAATTCCTGTTTGGTTGCCGAGTCGTTTGTGGTCAGTGGTGAAGGCATGAAACGTCTGTCCATGAGCGTCAGGCCGTCCACATCGTTGCTGTTGTTGTCGTCATTGTTCGTTGCGGCATCGTTGTTCAACGAGTATTTGTCGTCATCGTTGTTGTCGTTGTTGTGGTTGCTGCTGCTATTGTTATTGTTGTTGTTGTTGTTGTTAGCGTAGCGCTGTTGTTGCGGGCGGAAACGGAAATAATCGTCGCCATCTTGGTAGCAAAATGGCGGCGATTCAAGACATTCGCGTCTTTTTTTGGAGAAATCTTCCGCCATGTCATCATCGTCGTCGTCGTCGTCTTCGTCATTCTTAGGGCTGGGTGGCTCCGAGTTGTAATTTTTCATCATCGGTGATTGCGGGAACTGTGGAACATTATTATTATTATTGTTGTTATTATTGTTGTTGTTGTTGCTGCCGTGGCTGCTGCTGTTGAGTAGTTGCTGCTGTCGTTGCTGAAAGGCAGCAACTGCTTGAGCCAGCTGTTGTTGGTGTTGCACTGTAAGGGATGGATGGTTGAAGTTTGTGGCGAACGTGTTGTGCGGGTGTTGGTGAACGAATGGGGGAAAGAGGAAACAGTTGGGATGATAAAACGGCGGTGGGGGTAGAGATGCTGTGGTTGGGTCGTAGGTTGGTTGTTTGTTGTTGTTGCTGTTGTTGTTGCTGCTGCTGTTGTTACTAGTGTTGTTGTTTGATTTAATGGACATGCCGTGTTGAGCCAACAGTCCCAACGGTCTCTGCAACTTTATTTCTGTTTGCTGCTGTTGCTGCTGCTGTGACGATGAATTGAAGCCGTTAACTAGTTCAACGTCATTGTTACTCTTGTTAACGTTGGAATTATTGTTATTGTTGATGTTACTGATGCTGTGGTGCTTGCTGTCATCTTGTTCGTTTAAGTTTTTTATTGTTGTTTTGTGGTTGTTGTCATTAAATGTCGCGGAGCTTTCCTTTGTTTCATTGTTGTCTGCACATTTTTTTGCGTTGTGGTCGTTGTAAATATTGTTGTGAGTGTTTTCGTTTTTTTTGTTGTTTTTGTTGTTGCTGCTGCTTGCTACATCATCATCAGAGTTCATTTCCGTATCCGTGTTGTCATTGTTGTTGTTGTTGTCAGAGTTGTTGTTGTTGCTGCTGCTGCTGCTGGTGGTGATGACGTTATTGTTAGTTAAGTTAATGATCAGTTTTGTGGCCGTTCTTTTCCTGTTACTCTTTTTATGAACGGTTTGTTGTTGCTGTGTGTTGTTGTTGTTGTTGTAATCTGTGTTGTTGTTGGTTATTGACGAAGATGTCGACATTGTTGTTGCTGACGTTGACGATGAATTGACGAGAGATTTCTGAAAAATGGATATAAAGAGCGATATATAAAAAAGACAGAGCATTTTTTAAAAATTTAAAAAATTGAAGACCCGGAAAAAAATTATCTACTCACCGATTTTGCGTCATTGCAATCATTACGAGTTTCATCTTCACCGCGTTTAACGCCACCACCGGCGCCACCAATTTCATCTACAACATCGTCCTCGTCGTCGTCATCGTTATCGTTGTTGTTGTTGTTGTTGTCGTCGATGACGTCATTAAGCAAGTCAGCATCATTATATTTTTTTCTTTTCATCGCGTGACCCCTGACCTGACCCACGTAATCTGAACGTCCTTGAACTTTTGAATCCGTTTCCGGTGTGTAAGTTTCGTTTTTGCTGTAATTGTTATTATTATTATTGTTGTTGTTGTTGTTGTTACTGTCGTTGTTGTTATAGTTGTTAGCGCTGCTGCTATTGTGGGCGCTGTAACTAGTCATTACTATCGGAGATTGTATGTTTTGTTGTTGTTGTTGTTGTTGATGCTGTTGAGTTACGTTGATGTTGTTCTCGCTATTGTTGTTGTTGTTGTTGTTGTTGACGTCATAGAACGGCAGTGTTGTTTTTAAAACCGTAGTTGGAAGAGCAGTTGTTGGTAATGGGTGAGGAAAATACTGTTGCGTATGTTTTTAGTTCTTTGTGTTGTTTGTGTGTGTGTTTGTTTGTTTGTTTGTCTTGTATTTGTGTTGTTGATAATGTGCGTGCGTTTGTGAGTGTATGTGTGGTGTATGTGTTTGTGCATGTGTGTAAGTGTGTATCTGTGCGTGTGCGTGTAGTTTGTTGTTTCACATGTTCAAAAATTATGATAAAACTAGACATTAATAACATGCAAAAACAACAACATTATCATCATGATCGCCATTATCAACAACTATAACAACAATAACACTAACATAATGACAGCAATAACACTAACATGATGACTGCTGTTATTGTTGTTGTATGTTAGTTTGTGGGGATGAACAAATTCACCATTGGCATACATCGGGTTGAGTCTTAGGGAGTTGAAGTACCAGAGAGGCCACGGGAGA